CTCTCCTCCCCCCTTTCTTTCCCCCTCTCTCTCTTTTTCTTTTTTTTTTTTTTTTTTGTTTTTCTTCCAGAAAATCAAAGCGAGGAAGGGGGAAGGGTCAAAAGAGAAAGCGCAAGAAAGGCCGGTACAAACCACTCAGCTTGTACGTTTGTGTCCTCTGCTTGTAGACTCTCTTCCCTCCCTCTCCCCAAACCAGTCTGCCTGCTTGCTGCTTGCTCAAATCTCACCCTCCCCTCCCAGTCACTGGTGGGCTGCAGATCCTGCAGGGGCAGCACTGGTGGTGGCACTGCTCTGGCACTAAGGCTATCTCAGGGAAGCTGCCTTTAGCTTGCTTGGCTCTCTAATCATCAGTGGTGACCATTGTCCCAAGGCACAAGAGTGTGGTGGGTGGACGAGTACCCTGCACTTCTTCACGCCTTTCAGTTGCAGCTCTGTCTTCTGCTTTCCACCACTTGTCTCATGCCCTCACTGCTATGATGACTGGTGACAGGCAGGCTGACATCTACCATGCATGTGTGTATGTGTGTGTGCGCGTGCGTGTGCACATGTGCGTGCGTGTCTGGTGGAGTCACAGGTGGAAAGGAGAAGGGGGACAGCGGGAAGCCAGAGAGGGGGTGCTGGGGAGCCAGGGGGGATCTCTGTCTGGTTTTTTTTTTTTTCTCTCTTTCTGCTGGATTTGGTGGCTTGTCTCCCTGTCTCTTCTGCTCTGCCTCTCTCATGGTGGTTCACAAAATTCTGCATTGTAAATTCATGGCCCCTCCATAGGAGACGCTTAGGTGGCAAAGTTGGGATGGGGCTTACAGAAAGGAGGGCAGTGCCAGCTGCAGAGATTAGCATATGATGCTGGAGCCCAGCTGCTTTCCAGGGAAGGATAGACCCTGTGTATTTAAACTTGTTTAGCCGCTGGCCTCTTTCTACTCAAATAGTCCCCTTCAGAGAACTTCTTTCATTGATGTGTCAATAGCTGGCTGGGACCTCTCACCTTCCCATCCTTGCTTTCCCCTTCTTACTCCCTCTGGCCTGAGCCAATGGATCCAATGCAGCATTTGTGAATACTGTGCAGAAGGCCTGTTTTCTTTCTCTATGCTAATGCAAGGGGTTGCTGTCCTGGGGCTGTTGAGGTGCTGCTGGAAAATCCATCAGCCCGTGGCACTCCAGTGGGCAGCATGGGGGCTGCGGGAGGGGGCAAGGGGATTGCTTTGATGTTCAGGGTGTTGCATGTGTATTTTCTTTCTGCTGAAGCGCTGTAGCTTAGACATCTTTCCTTTTGCCTTTTTGCAGTCACTGTGAGCCTTGCTCAGAGAGGAGAAAGCACTTGTTTGTACAAGATCCCCAGACCTGTAAATGTTCCTGCAAATTCACAGACTCACGTTGCAAGTCGAGGCAGCTTGAGTTAAACGAGCGCACTTGCAGGTTTGTGTCCTGAAGGATGAAACACACAAAGAGAAAGAGAGAGAAAGAGAAAGATGGGGGGAGCTTGCTTCCTGCTGACTTCTGGCACCAGTGCTATTTGATTACTTTTCTCTGTCCTACGTGGGCCCGGCAAGCAGAGGGGCTAACTGGGATGAGGACTGTTTCCTTGTGTCAGAGGCCAGCTGTGCGTTTCAGGTGTGCTCTCAGGACTTGAATGGGAATGGCTCCCAGAGACAGGCCCTTCGTATCCCAGGTATTCTTTACCATACAATAGGATAATGGAGTTCATGTTGCTGAGGTAGGCAGGGGGAGGGTCTGTAACCCTCTGTACCTTACCTGTACACAACTCTGAGCATACCGTTGGACAAAGACAAATCCTCAACTGACTAGGATTTGACCACCCCTGTCTTCCAAGCCCTTTTTCTGTGGCTTGTAGATGCTCTAGTTTGTGCAGAATGAAGAAAGCCAGTAGGAGCCTCCCTCAAGGCTGAGCCTACATTCTCCTTTGCCTCTTTGTTCTTCTAAAAGCCAGGGAGAGCACCCTGTCGTCTTGTACTGTGGTCACAGTTCCCTGTCCATGTCCTGTCCAGAGTTGTGGTTTCAGAGGCTGCACTCAGGACTGTGAATGGAATACAGCAGATTTAAGTCTGACTCTGGGTGAAGGCAGAGGTGTGTATTTCAGGTGTGAGGTGGGAGACATAAAGGCACTGTGGGGTTAGTGTTAGTTTGGAGATCTATGCTGTGCATGTGTCATCTGAGTGCTGTCACACACCATCTGTGGCGCAGACACATAAGAAAACCGATTCCCAGTTCTCACCTGAGCACTTTGGTGAGTGCATTGGGGTGTCTTGATTCGAACAAGCTATGTGTGCACCTCGGGTGTGAGATCATCCTACCTGTGTAGACGGAGATATATAAATAGGGTTGCTAATGAGCACTTGGCTGTGACTCTGAACTCGGATCCCTTTCACAGAGGTCTAGGAGATTGTTCCTGTTTCTGCAGTATTGCAGTGGCAGCAGCTCAATAGGAGAATACAAGGGAGAGCGATCCAGAGTCCTCTGTGGCTGTATCCCGAAAAGAGGAGATATCCATTGGCTAGGTGGCTAAGGCTGATACAAGTAGCAAGTGCTTCCTTTGGGTGTGAAAATGTTTTGAGTCCAAGCCAGAGAGGCATTGGCACTGTTAGTATGATGGAAGTTGCTCTGTATACAGAGAATTTTTCTGGGGTGCTCTAATTTCAGTGGGAAAGTAATTGATGGAGGCGCCAGAGTAGAGCAACTTCCAGAGTTAAACTTCTCCTAGCGAGCAAAACCCCTGAAGTCTGAGACCAGACTTAATGTTGGCCTTTTCCTCCTTCTTCTTTTCCAAAGTCCAGAGAAACTGATAATTACTCCACAGAGTTTGGAGGGTGAGAAACAGTAACAAATACAATGAAAAGCCAAACAATACTCTGAAAAAGTCATGATGATAGAAGGGGTTTGCTAGTTTTCTCTTACTAGTCCCTCTCTGTGATGGGATAATGGGCACTAAGAGAGGTTTCCAGAGGTGATATGTTGGCCAGAAAAATGGGAAGGAGTCATAGGAGTGGTTAGCTTATCAGTTTCCAGATAAAAAGCTGGTTAAACTGAAGTCCATCTTGCTCTTTCTTGTAGAATTAGAACTGGGACCTACAGGGGAGGGTAAATTCTCATTTCTGCTGCTGCTTCTTCAGGGCACAGCTGTTCAGTGGTGCTAACCCCCACTCACAGCAGCTAGTGGAATGAAAAGCACTTACTTTTCACCTTCTTGCCTGCATGAGGTCTTGTTGTCTGCACTGCTTCCAAACAAGAGGCTAGATGGAGAGCTGAGGGCGTGTCTCTGCATGTATTGCTTAGCCTTGTTTTTCTATGTTTGTGTGTATTTGTGTGTGTGGTGTGCAAAGATACAAACAAGACACTCAGATTTTTTGTGAGGATGCCACTGATTCTGCTCCTAAATTTACCTGTTTGAGTATTCCCCCTGCTCTGTCTAGGTGAGCCTGGTGGAATAGAATTCATTGACCCATTTGTGGGGTAGAGATTCTCAGCTGATTTGCCCATCTGCACAGCACTTCACCCCACCAGTGACGGTCATGTCATGTCTTAACACCATGTGCTCTTAAACACATTAGCCACCACCCTTACTTCCCTTCCCTGCCCTAGTTGCACTCCCATTACAAACATTAACCCCTGTGCTCTTTTTTTCCTTCCTTCTTCTCTTTGACAGATGTGAAAAACCTAGACGGTGAGCAGCGGAAAAGAAGGGGAAACAGCCCTGTTTCTGGAGCCTGATTTCTCACCTGGACAGAATAAAACAAAACAAAACACTAATCCAAATGAACCCTAAAAATGAAGGATCGGTAGAGCACAGCACTTTCAGTACGGACGATGGACTCCGGAAGGAACATTCCCCAAGGCACCCGCCGCACAGAATTCACCTTTGGGTTTTGAACTGTTTTATTTTATTTTTCTTTTTATGCTGCTAAATAACAGAGCCAGGAAGACTTATAGGGGTGTATTTGATGGGTTTTCCCATGCATACATATATATGTGTGTATACATGCATATACATATATATATATGTATATATATTTTAACCACATCTATATATACATATATGTATATCTTAACCACACACACACACACACATATATTATATATATATATATATATGTATATATATATATATACATACTGATTATTTTTTTTAACATTGCTAATGTTATTGGTGTCTTCACTGGATAATACTCAACTGCTGTGGACACAAGCGGGCTACTTGGGGCATAAGATACAAGCTAAGAATGGACTTGAGTAGAAGCGCTGGGTGTAAACTTCTTAACTCTAACTGACTTGTGTGGCCTCCGCTGTTTCTCTGTAGAGTGTGCTGTACCACAAACCACCTTCTCCTTGCCTGGGACAGGGAGGAGAGGTGATGGAGAGGATGGGCAGGGAGTTCCAAAGAGTGGCATTCTAGGGTGCGATGGGTCAAAGGCCAAGGAAATGGCCATCTCCGTGATCAAGGATTCCTCCTCCCCTCTGTTCCCCCAGCCTTCGCCCTTACTCGTCTCATAACCTGCCTGCCTTGCTGGGACATGGAATGTCAGTGTACATTTTGTGTTGACTTTATTTGCTGTAGAACCTTTGCCAGAGAGACATGCTGGCTTCTCTTAAGGATGGTGGGCAGCTGACGCGCACTGACTTTCTGTTCAAGGAATAATCACAGGAGTCTAGATTTCCCGCCCTTGGTGGCTGCAGAAGGACACAAGGTCTACAGTGTGCTGAAGCAAGAACGGGGACCGGTGCATAGCCACACAGTTGTTCAGCACTGTCTGCTTTCTTCATGCACAGAGCTGCCACTCAAGAGCATCCAAGATGCTTATGGAACATTTCTGGAAAGGGATATTAATCAAAAGTATATACACAGTAGTGGGTGTGTGTGTATGTATGTGAATGTATGAATTTGTGTGTATGTATATATGTATGTATGTGTTTTTATCTCTTTTTTATATATATATATTTATTTTTATACATATATATATATAAAAAATAATATATATGTATGCCAAGATTGAAGGGGGAAAAAAAGAAAGCAACTTTTGCTGCCTTCAGTTTGTGTGCCCAGTGTGAATGACCCTTAAGAACGTCAAGATTTTTTTTAATGACGTACTGTAAATATCAGGCTCCTTTTCCATGTCTTGGGCTGGGGAATCAAATGTGAAGGCAGCTGGAGTCCCTTAGCTGTGTCCTGAGGTTCTTGGCTATGTGTGTATCTGCAGTGTAGGCTGTGATGTACATGAAACCCACCTTACACACGCCTGCACACACACGCGCCCCTGAAAGTATGTTTGTACGTCTATGTGGAAATATATAATCTAGTTCTGTGATTAAAATTATTATTAATAATAATAATAATCAAAAAGGTACTCAGTCTGTGTCAGAATGCTGACAAACATCATCTGCAATTGAATTTTCAACGCCTGACAATGTACAACACAGAAAGCTTCCAAAAAGACAAGACAGTCTAAAAACAGACTCACAACAAATGACTACTAACCACTAGGATCTCCCCATCCAACTGATGGCTTTCAGAAGGAGAGAAAACACACGGGTGGGTGCTTGCATCTGCAATGTAGAATACTCATGCTGCATCGTGTGCAAGACAGAGGCTTCTGATCGGGGGAGGGAAGAAAAAGTGTTTTATATACTTATTTAATATCCCTTTTTAAATTAGAAATTAAACAGATAATTTAATTAAAGAGTAGGGATTTTTCAGTATTCTTTGTTAATATTTAATTTCAACTATTTATAAGCCGTACTTTTTTTTTTTTTTTTTTTTTTTTTTTTTTTTTTTTTTTACTGGTTGTGTATAAATTTAACCTTCCTGTTGTCCCATCCCGTCTCTCCCCAATTGTTGGCAGAGTCAGTAGCATGTTATGGGCAGTTATTTAATTAATTTCTCTAACACCTACCCCTACACATTCCTATTGAGACAACGGTTAGATATACATCTACATACTATATATATATATATTTGGCTATGTGTTTGTATATATATATATGTTTATGTATATGTGTGATTCGGATTAAATAGACACTACGATTTTTTTATATATGTAAAAAGAAGAAACAGGAAAAAATAGAAAGTTCTACATCTTGAATCTCTTTCCTTTTTAATTTTAATATTTGTTATCGTTTTATTTATTGGTGCTACTGTTTATCTGTAATAATTGCGGGGAAAAAAGATATTAACACTACATATTGTGTCTAGTGAATTTTTTCAAGATATTCCTTAGTACATATTTATTTTTAAACAAAGAAATTACAGATATATCTTAAAACAACGACGACAACGACAAACAAACTTTTTTTTGTATTAAAGAATTTAATTCTGACATTGATTTCCTTTGCCTTCTCCTTCTGCCTTGCATCCTGGTTTTCTTCCATTGTGTGACATTTTCTCCAGCATTGCCTCTGGAGGCTACAGGGCATCAGCAACCTACCAATTGGACTCTCAGATTTGGGCCCAGAGCCTCCAAAAGCATCTAGGTATCTAAAACCTGTTGAAATGAATGGGAAGTAGGCACCAGAATCCTTGCATGGAGCTCAGCTCAAGTTCCCTGCTTGGTGAGAAGAGGGTGGTGTGATGGGCAGGACCAAGGGGGCAGGACTCCTGGGTTCCTTCCCATCCTGATGCTGAGCAGTGTGGTGATGGTCCCAGCCCTGCTTCTTTCTTGTCAGGAGCCAAGTCCCATGAGCTGGATAGTGTACAGGCATGAGTAGATGCAATCCTGGTGGAATTTACAATCCAAGGTGAAAGTAATGCTGTGAGCCTGCCCTTTCTGGTAATGGACTTGGTGTGTATGTAACTCATTGTCAGGGATGGCTCAGCCAGACCTTGCCATTCTGGATAACGTTGAACAAAAAACTGTTTAGTTCTGACAGTGCTTATGACTTCGTGAGGGATCTTGATACCATTGCATCTTTATGTCCTTTGGGGTCTAGGAGAAAAAACTTTGGCAGTGGTGTAATTTCCTCGTCATCCATGGAGATGAATGTGTCATGCATCAGTCATCTGTCCACACTGGAAAGGAGCATGCAGGATGTTTCCTGGGCGTCTGGGAGGCGTCTCACTTAGGGTAATACAGACCACTAAATTCATGGCTGCATCATTCCTGCTCTTGCAAAGGTAAAGAATCTGGCTTCTATCTAGCATGGACTCCGGTAGCTCAACAGGTGGACCTGCAGTCACTCCCTCAGAGGAGTGTGGAGCGAAGGAAAGAGGATGAGTACCTGAGGACACTTTGGTTGACTGTGTTCAGTAACGTCTTGTGGACTGGAGCAGTGAGGTGAGAATGTGAGCCACCTGGATGTTTCTGCATGAAGAACCCAAGAAGTTGCTTCCCTTGTATATTCATCACTGGCTTTTGTTCTGTGTGGATCTGTGGGCTCTTTTGCTTGTGGCTGTGCAAGGTGATGAAGACAGCAAGCCTATCCTCAGGAGACCTGCACCGCCTGTTTGTGACCTGGGAAATGTTTACAAGTCATCAAATTGGAAAAATTGAAACCAGCAGGTACGTGCTTCTCTCCTGGGCTAAGCTGGATGTGAAATCTCAGCATGGAGTGACCCAGGTCTCCTGGATGGATGAATCAGCATGTTCCTGTCAGTCACAACACATCAAACCCTCATCAACCCATCAAACCCTGTCCCACCAATGGCAAGCTGGGCTGGCTATTCCTGGTGCTCCTCTCTTTTCCTACCTCCAAGGGCTCATGAGAGGTAGGATATCTGCAGATCAAGGTCACCTGATAGCCACTTCTTCATGAGACAGTGGCTGGATAGCATATTTCAGATGGGACAACTCAGAATTTGTTTGTGTGGATGCTGGATGTTTGAGGTAGCTTGCTCAAACTGCAGCAAGGCCCTGCCCAAGCCAGCTCTGATGGGGTTTACCTGGGGCCCTGGAAGCAGTCCAACTCTTCCTTATTCTCCAGGGTGGGTATAACTGGGCTGTCATCTCTTGTGAGTAAGGTGATCATAGCTTGGTGTTGGAAGTGAGCTCAGGCTGGTTGGAGAGGCTGTACGTGATTGAGAACCCTTTGGAGAGGCTGGGACATAAGAGAGCAGTTGCCCCTCACCCTACCCAGAGTTTGCACCTGGCTTGCCTGTGCCCTGGCCCAAGGTGAGGTGAGGACACATGGAGGGAGGCCAGGTTTTCACGCTGGCACTCTGATCTCGTCATACAGGCTTTCACCCTGTGCACGAGAACTTTCCCTGAAAGGCTTCTGGTCACGTCCACGTTTTGGTTGCTGGCTAACTAAAATGCTATCTTCAGGCAGCCAGCTGATGCTTTCCTCGTGCCTGCTGCATTTACTGTGTGATTCAGAGAGTGGAGACACCGTGAAAGGCAGTAAAGGGTGCCCTGGGGAGACAACAGAAAATCCACTAGCAATGGAATAAAGAGTGCTTTTGGTTGGAAACCCTGTCTGTCTCTCCCTTTTGGCACCTGCTAGCTGGTTTAACCCCTTGTTGTTGATGTCTTGCACTGCTTATCAGGTCTGTATGTCAGCCAGGCTCTGCTTGGGCTCCATCACCACCTACAGTGCCTGTGTTAGAAGTCCCTATAAATCTCCTGTCCTTCAGGATGGTCCCACAGAGGACCTTAGAAGCCCAAATGAAATTCATTTCACAGGCCATGTCCTCCTCTGTCTGCTCATGGGACCTTTGGTAGTGAGAGATAGGTATTTTTATAGTAGTCCATGTGATGAGTGTGCAGGCAGTCTCTCTGTGCTTGGGATGGCTGAAATTCATGAATAATCCAGATCATCCAGCACAAGGTCTGCAGTCCTGGTCTGGGCAAGCACCGTGCTTGCTCCCAGCTCCCTATTTGGGGCCAGGCCAAGGTGGCCCTGGTGGCACTGTGCCACCCCACAAGCAGCTGCTGGCCCTTGCTGTGCCCCACAGCACCTGACACCCTTCACGATGGGGTGGCTGAGCTGCTGGCCATCCCAGAGCAGCCAAGTGCTCCAGATCTCGTAAGAGGTGGCAAGCTGTGGATAAGAGCAGGGAGGTGATATCCCCTGCACAGGAGTGAAGGAGGGTGCAAAAGGAATGCAGAGAATGCCTGACCACAGCTGTGGGGAAGGCTTGCCCTTTGGTGTGGGGAGTTGGGAGGATCCCAAGGGCTTTGAATCATGAAGGGGAGAAGGGTCAGGTTCCCCTTCAAATGTCAGAGGTTTGCTGGCTGCCTACCTTAGGATAGTATCTCCAGAGGTGCAACTCGCTGTCTGTGTGAGGTGATTACAGAGTTACAAAAGGGAAGTGGGCTTGTTGGGCAAGTGCCACCTGTTTACCTGCCGAAGGCTGGCTTCCCAAGGCCAAAAAAGGCCTTTTGATAAGGATTTCTTTAAACTTGCTGCCTGAGCTGCCTCCATACATCCAGGCGAGCAGTGCTATTCTGCCCACAGCTGAGAGATGCAGTTCTGGGCTATACCTGTACATTGTGACATGGGGCTAATCTTGCTGGTTTGTGCTCTATATTTTTACCTCACTTTTTCAGATGCCCCAGACACTTCATTGGGAATGAAAAAAAAAAAAAAGCCCCATCTTTCCCTGGCCTGCCCAAGCATCTCTTCAGGCATTAGGGCTGCCCACTGCAGCCAGCTGCTGTAGGATTCTCTGTGTGTTTAGCACTCAGGTGCCTCTGCTGCCCAGCCCACCACATTGCCCATCTCCTGGCCAAGCCTGGTGTCTGCAGCAGGGGGAAGGCATCCTGCAAGCCTGATGCCAGCACAGGAGGGCTTTACTTCAGGGTTTGCTTTGACACCTCCTTTGCCAGCTATTCTGAGTTGTTGGTGCACTCCATGCTTGGAGAGTTTTGGGACCCAGGCTAGGGAGGGCGTCTGGCTCTGCTCAGACCCCTGCTAGGACTGGTGATGAATGTCAGTTCCTGCTGAACATTCCCCAGGGAGGCTCACATAATCCCAAAACAATCTGGGATGCAAGTCAGGATGCCTTGCTCCCAACCTGTGTTGTACCTGCTGTGTGGTAGCTTCAAGGTGAAAAGCTTTGGCCGCAGATGGCATTACCTCTGAATCTTGGTCAAACGGGTCTATAGTGGAGGAAGGGTATGACTGATGCAAACCCTTGTGCCTTTGCAACCCTTTTCAGTGGGAGCATTATCTAAGGGGAGATAAAAAGGGCGAGACCTCACCCCTTAGGTGCAAACCCTACTGACAGCTCACAAGAGGCAGCACAAGATGAGCAAAATGGTCAGCTTATGCAAGTAATTCATTTCCATCACCTCTTCAGATATTTTAAGGCCTGAGCAATTCACCTTCATTTGCCCATAACTCCTTTCTGAGCCACAGTGTAGACTTTGGAAAGGTGGCCAAGCTGCCATTTCACTATGTGGCCTTCCTGTCCCTCTCACCTACAGAGAACCTGCTGGCACTGGATCCAGCCTGTGCCACAAACATAAGGATACCAGGGAGTATATGTTTGTGTCATTGGTCTCTTCTCCAGAAGCAAGACTCCCACCAGCATCCCTCCCTGCTCTTCCTTCTGTCCTCAACTCTGATACTGAGTTCAGAAGCAAAACCCCCAGTAGAGATTTATGATGGACTCATTCCTTTTGAAGAGACCCCTCACCTGGTTGCTCAGATGCCTGTGCAGATACTAACTTCTGGAAATGCAACTTCCTGTTGATCATCTCTACTTCTTTTCTTCACAGCTTCAACTTGCCCATTCCCCCTCCAAGTCCCCTTCCTTATGTTGGGCAGCTTGCCGGGAGGTTAAAGTCCTCTTTTTTGCACTCCAAGGACCTCACATCTGGGAGAAGCAGCCTGAAGACTCCTGAGCAGATTATGTTTGCTCAAAGGTGTTATTTCTCCTGGGGATAAGAAGCTAACTCCTACTTTGATTTATCTCACTACTGGTAGTGTGGTGAATGGGGGTCAACGGCACAGGATATGATTGTTTCCAGTCTTCATAGGCATAATAAATTATGAGTCATAGGATCATCCTGAGTTATTCAGTGACTAATCTGAGGCTGGTCTTGAGGCTGCGGGCCAATTTTTTGTTGCAGCATTGGCTTCCCAGAGCTCTGTATTGTGGATGTACAGTGCAGACCTAGTCAATGCACAGCACCTGGAAGAACTGGCTGAGCTGCTGGAGGAGGTGCTGATGAGTCAGGGAGTGGCACTGCCCTGTGCACCAGTACCCCACTTGGGTGGCTGGATGTTCAGTGCAAGTGGCTGTGACTTTTGTGAGTCACTTTGTGGGACTGAGTGTGATCCACACCCTTGCTGAATTGTTGGGACCAGTCACAGACTCAGAGACATCCCAAGAGGAACTACTTGTGGGTTTAGGTT